AGCCTCAGACCGTTAGAGTCAAAGCTGGGAACCGATAGCGCTCCCACGGTTATTCCCTCAGCTCTAGACGCTACACCACCTGCACATCTTAGAGATAACAGCGTTACAGCAGAGAAGAAGCACAGAAGGAATGCAGCAGTAATTAATACACAGAAAAGGGAAGCTGATGGCCTCCTGAACTATCATGGTAGCATAGCTGACACTATATCACGAAATCTGACCACCACAGATAAATTTATAATAATTGTTCAGGTCAAAGACCAAGCCAGGAATCTACATGTAGCAACTAAACTCTTCAAGAAAAGACTTCTGAATTTTGCTGAAGTAAGGGATGTGCAGACACACTGGTAGCAATTACATAACCTATTTACTGTCCACCCCATAAAGAGTACTTGAATTAAAGCCAGTTTGATTGCATTGAAAACTCCACCTTGACAAGTTTCAGGTGTCTGCTTACTTAGAAAAAGGGGTATAACATTTACAGCACAATCCTATGCATGTTTAGTAGCCCTTGGAAGAGCAGAATGGTGAGATATAAATTTTGTAAATAACTAGAAATGTTTAAAGTACATTCAATTCAGGTCAAATGAGCTTACTCCCAAGTAAGCATGCACAGGATTGTAGCCATAGTTTGCAGCCTTGATTAGGTAAAATCTTTGGAATAATCCTGCTGTGTTGCATCATTGGTAGGTATTATATCAACCAAGCAATCAAAATACCTTTAATGGCATAATAAAATACATAGTGTGATGTATTACATAATTATATTGTAGGTATCCAATTGTTTAGCACATCTTTCTCTAATTTTGTGAAACTGTTTAATTGATTAGTAGATACTGTTCCTATTCTAGCTGTTCAAGGTAAGAGACCAAACTGCACCAATAAGTAAACAAGACAGATCTGTCAGAGGAGGGTGGAATATAGATGTTCAATATTACTGTTCCTATTGTATTGTTTTTAAACTGTGGAAGCTGCCTTGAGACTTGGTGAGAAAGCTGGACTGCACACACAATAAAATAAAATGGCAAACCTTATTTCAGTGGATTTCTCTGGAGGGGGACTGTAAGGATTAGCTGTTGGTAAGCCTATGGATCTTACAGCTCTTGTTAACTATTAGCTGTAAGTTCTTACAGATTGAGACCTGGCTGGTTTCCAGAGAAATTGGCTGACTGTTAACTGCATGCACCTGGCAGCGTGAAACAGGCTGGCTGGGGACACTTTCCTCATGCTTTTTAGGACAATTCCGCTTTAATGTCCTGCCACTTGGAATCAACTCTGCGAGCAAAGTGTTTCAGAGATTGATGGACCAAGTTCTAGAGGGTCTTGAATGTGCAGTGGCCTACCAAGATGATATAGCTGTCATTAGCTCAACTTGGCAGGAGCATCTTTGACATCTTGATGCAGTGTTTCAACGGATGCAGGGTGCTGGACTATTAAACCTGCAAAGTGTCAAATAGCTAGCAATAGCGTTTAGTATTTGGGACACCAAATTGGGGGAGGTAAAATTGAACCCCACCAAGTAAAGGTGGACGCCATAATTAATTGGCCAACCCCAGTAACAAAGAAGCAGGTTTTGAGTTTTTGGGGGGCATGTGGGTTTTATCGTCAGTTTATACATGGGTTCAGTGAGTTAGCTGCCCCACTTACCAACTTGTGTAAAAAGAAAGCCCCTGTCAGGATTCACTGGACATTCACCAGTCAGCAGGCCTTTGAAGCCTTAAAACAACATATGGCCCATGCCCCTATTCTGAGGCCCCCTGACTACACACAACCTTTTGTTGTAAGAACCAATGCATCTAAAAATTGATTGGGTGTAGTGTTGATGCAGAGACCTTAGTGGGTGTTTACACCCAGTGGTCTATCTAAGTCGTAAGATGTTACCGAGGGAAAAAAAGATATAGTGTGATCGAACAAGAATCGTGAGCACTGGTTTGGGGCTTGAATAAGCTTAAAACATATTTGAGGGGGATACATTTCCACTTGGAAACAGATCACAACCCTCTGACATTCATACATAGGATGAAGGAGGGAGCCAGTGTGGTGTAGTGATTAAGAGCAGTGGACTTTAATCTGGGGAACTGGGTTTAATTCCTCAGTCCTCCCCATGAAACCTGATGGATGATCTTGGGCCAGTTACAGTGCCTTTTGTGGGGAGAGGGAGAGAAGATTGTAAGCCACTTGTCCACCTTTTTGCTAAGGCCCCTGGCTGGTTATTAGGGCAGCTTCCCCATATTCCCCAAGTATTGTGGAACCTGCATTTATAGTTCCACTATTAGTCAATGTGTGATAGAGACTTCAATCCTACACAGCAGTTTTTTTTTTAATTAGTTTTTAGGAATTCAGTTGCTATCATCACATAGGGTGATCCCGACTGTTTACTAAAAAAGAAATCCCTTCAATTTCAAGACCTTGCTTCTTGATAAAGTTGCAGTTCTGTTGTTGCAATTCTTCATATAGATGTTATTTACTACAACTATCTGCTTATCTCATTTCATCCTGTACTATGGACTACATTTTAAGCAATTTAAGTTGGAAGTGTCTCACACCCATGCTACAGTTAATGTAGTACTAATTGGATTGGATCTTGTTTGACCTGGATCTGCCTTTATAACACCCCTCCCCCGTGACACTTCTATGTATCTGATAAATTAGCTATGACTTACAAAAGCTTCTGTTGGAATAAATGTTGTTAGTCTCATAAATACCACTGGACTCATTTTATAATCTTGTTAATAATATTTAATAAAGTTATTGTATGGCATTTTGTCATATAGCCAGGACATCAGAAGATTGTCTGGTAGCCTTAAGTTCTTGTGTAGGGGTCTCAAACTCATTTGTAATGAAGGCCGTATCTGACATAAAAGAGACCTTGTCGGGCTGGGCCATTGTGTGTCATAAAATGTAACGTCAGGTAGCGGAGATATAAACTTTATAAAGGACACAAACACAACAGTTTTCTTTTACTTCAAATAAAAACATGCTTAAAACATTAGCACTCTTGCAATATTTTATTTAACAGTCCCTGTTAAATGACACCTCTTGCTCTGAATTATTGCATCAAAATGTCTATGCTGTAGCAATCCTGAGTATGCTGTTCAGGTGTGTACTGCAAACCTACTCTTGATTTATTGACATTCATTACAGAAATCTCACTTCTGCTACTCTGAGCCTAGGCTGGGCATTGCGAGTTTTTGTACATAAATGGCTTTGTGTGCTGGTCATCATGACACAGAGGGCTATGTGTTTGTCTACAAAACTATAGTCTTCCCAGAAAAATAACTGCAGTTCCTAGGAGGCAGTGCAAGAATAGAGAGACAGAAATGTATAGTGGTCAGTATCAGCCTGCTATCTGGGATGTCTAGGTTCAAAATCCCCAGTCTACAAAGGAAATGTGCTGGGTTAACTTGGTCTGGACACACTCTCAGCCTAATCCACCTTGCTGGCTTGTTGTTATTCCTCATCTAAATAGTACACATTGCTTTCCTACTGAGAAATACTGGATCATGAGGGCATGAATACAGTGATAAAGGGGAGCAAACCCAGTTGCACTCAGGAGAGCCACAGCATAACGAGCCCAACAAAACACACACAAAAGCTTATACCTTGAATAAAACTTTGTTAGTCTTAAAGGTGCTTTGTATTTCTCCCAGGTGATTGAGGCAGCTGAGCAAAGGGAGGGAGCTTCAGCCAATGGAAGGGAAGAAAAGCTTGCCTTTGTCTCCTGTACGATTGAGGGAGCCTGGCCAGGAAGCAAGCTCTGGCTTGTTCCCTCCCCCACTGGAGGAGAAGGGGGAGGAGCCTCAACCAATGCAGAAAACAGAAGTTTGCCTATCTCTCCTGTGCGACTGAAATAGTTTGGCAAAGCAAGCTGCAATGCAGCAGTAGCAGAACTGGAGAAGGAAGCAGGAGAGAGCTCAATGGTCAGATAGGAGCCAGCTCGCGGGCTGCATGTTTGACACCCCTGTTTTAGCTCTTTTAGCGTTTTGTGAACTAGACTTACTTTTTGGGCTGAAAGAGTTCTGAAAGAGCTGTAACTGACCCAAGGTCACCCAGCTGGCTTCATGTGGAGGTGTGTGGAACTGAATGTGGTTCTCCAGATTAAAGTACGCTGCTCGTAACCACTACACCAAACTGGCTCTCTGACCTGGATAGCCCAGGCTAGCCCAATCATGTCAGATCTTGGAAGCTAAGTAGAGTTGGCCTTGGCTAGTATTTGGAAGGGCGACCTCCAAGGTATACCTAGCCAGCTGGCCAGCAGAGGAAGCCCCACCCCCAAACAGCCCCATCATGTATGACGTTGTGACATCATAACACTGGGGGTGTCACATGGTGATGTTCTATCATTTTGGCCAAAACCTCTATTTTAACCATATAGTTTTGGCCAAAAACCTACACCGTCACCGTGCCATGTCCACAGCACAATGACATCACTTCTGTGTGACATCATCACATCGACCACCTTCCCCATTCCCAGAAGGCTTCCTCTCCCCCACCCCTGCATGGAAAGGGTACCTGGCAACCCTAATCAGCTCCCTTGGGAGGTGGTGAGCTCCCTCTCACTGGCAGTCTTTAAGGTCAGTGGCTGGACAAACACTTGTCAAGGGATGCCCTAAGCTCACCGTTCGTTGAGCATGGGGTTGGACTATATGGCCTTTATGTCCCCTTCCAACTCAGTGATTCTATAGGATGAAATCGCGCTGCACTAAAGCTTTGTCGACTGCAACGAATCCATTTTCCTTTACAGTCCTTCCTCCTTCCAGGACTTCGCTACCCTTCCTCTGGAGATCTGCGCAACAACCATACCAAAAGTCACGACTTCTAATGGAGACAAACAAAGCAGTGGCAGCCAAGAGTTCACGCTCCACCTTCAGCAACGTTTCCCCCTTTTTTCGCCATTCCCTTCTCCCAGAAACACCCGCGCGGCTACTAGGAAGGAAGGCGTGTCTCGGACTATACGCATGCGCAGGTTGCTTTGCTTTTCTTCTTTTCGGACAGCTCGGGGAAGAGGAAGGGGAAGAGGAAGAGGAGAGAAAGAGAAGAAAACCCGGATGTTTTTTGCCCGAGGAATGACTGTGGTAACTCCGCTTGGCGCATGCGTAAGGAGGGGTTGAGGACGTACACCAAACCACCGAGTGATGGAGAAGAGGTAGGATAGAGCGGCCTCAGCAAGAAGAAGGAAAAGAATAACGGCCTGGTGGTCGGTTGTCCGGCGCTCTTGGTGCGGGGTGGATTCGGGTCTTCTAAGCCATAGGCCAGGAGGGAAAATCGGGGATGAGGCGGGAGGAGTTTAGGGGCGGGGCAGGTCTTTTTTTGTTTGCACACCGGATTTCCTGGTTATTTTTGAAGCCTGGTTGGTCTTGTGGGAGAGTGGTAATAGTGACAGCTGTTTATATGAGACAATGGAACCGTCCAGTAGGCGCAAAAGGCGGGAGTTCAGAGTGTGTGTGGGTGTGTGTGGGGGGGTGTTGATGAATGTTCTGGTCCTTTTTAAAAAAGCGTTCAGAAATGGCTCTGCAAGCGCTTCCGGAGTTACGAGGCGGCGGCGATGCAGTGCAACGTTGTTGGCCCTGTATTTCTGAGGGTGTAAGGCTGAGATATAATATGCCCGTATTCTAGTTTGAGGAAGTAGAGGGAGACTGATGTATGTACGACCAGCTGTAATCCGCTGCAAACGGGGCGGGGGGGGGGGCTGCGAGGTTTGAAAGGGGGGTTTACAGTAACCCTAATGTAAACAATGGTCTTGTTGCATTTAACATTTTATTCCAATTTAAACTTTTGTGGATTACAACGCGCTTCTTCAGATACAATGGATTTCTTTCCACCCCATCTATTTCAAATTGCTTGCATAGCGAGGGGCCATTCGTTGTATCCGAGCATGTTGGTTCTAGTCCACGAAAGCTTACGCTGGGATACACTTCTGCTACTTTTAGAGATCTCATAGACATTCTATTCATTGCTGCAACTTCTTTGTAATGAAGGCAGTCGTGCAATCTAGTGTGGGTTCATCGTTGAGCTACGACCCTGCTCGCGTGAATTGCAGGCAAATTGTGCTCAGAAGTGATCCCAAACATATGCTCGGGGACGCACGTGTTACTCGGGTCTTTTCGCTTGAACGTGGGCTGGATCGTGGGGGAAGCTACAGATTTATATGCGTGAGAGCTTTGGACAAGCAGAGAAAGGCAGCCGGAGACGAATATTATGCGTGGAAATTGTGGGATGATCCTGAGCTCTCAGGGCACGAAAAGAGAACGAAACACGGAGGGGAAAGCAAGCGAGTGAGGTTCTAGACGGGAGAAATTTCTTGTTGTGGGGTGTGTGAGTCCGCCTGTTTCTGGCAGAGAAGTCTTTGGGCAATGCTGCAACTTCTTTGTAATGAAGGCAGTCTAGTGTGGGTTCATCGTTAAGCTACGACCCTGCTCGCGTGAATTGCAGGCAAATTGTGCTCAGAAGTGATCCCAAACATATGCTCGGGGACGCACGTGTTACTCGGGTCTTTTCGCTTGAACGTGGGCTGGATCGTAGGGGAAGCTATAGATTTATATGCGTGAGAGTTTTGGACAAGCAAAGAAAGGCAGCCGGAGACGAATATTAGGCGCGGAAATTGTGGGATGATCCCGAGAGAGGGGGAGCTCTCAGGGCACGAAAAGAGAACGAAACACGAGAGGAAAGCAAGCGAGTGAGGTTCTAGACGGGAGAAATTTCTTGTTGTTGGGGGTGTGAGTCCGCCTGTTTCTGGCAGAGAAGTCTTTGGGCAAGGGTGTTCTCTAAAAGTGGCTGATTCCACGCAGAAATCCCGTTATTGTGTTTGGCTGTCTCGATATTATACTCTCCAATTGAAAGCAGGAGGTGGAGCGCTTTGAACAAGAATTTCCTCCTGCCTTTTCCTGCTTGGTCAGTCGCGATGGTGGTGAGGGTTCGGTTTCTTTTTTGGGATCGCTCGAGATAGGTGCTGGAGATAAGGGCAAACAACTTTCCTTAGACGCATGGGACCTACATTATCACGTGTGTCTGTTTGAAAGGATAGTGTATGAAAAAATAGGTCTATTCTAAATTCTCAACGCCTCAAACAGAATTTAGTGTTAATAATGAGAGGATACCTTGACAGCAGTAGTATCTGTAAGGCAAAGGTAGTCTTTTTTTTTCTTTTTCAACTTCGAGAACCTGTTGGACAATTATTTTAGTTATCATGCATGTTGGGTATTGGTTATTACATCCAAAATATATAGTAAAAAAAGGAAAGGCAAAAAAAAATATAGGATAAACACATGGCCTTTTGACATAGAGGAATTTACAGGCTGTTACATCAGTTCAAGAAAGATGATTGCAGATTTTGATAAAACACCTAGGAGATTGTGTGCTTGCTTTTCTGTTGGGGGATTCCTGTCGTACAGCAGGCCTGAAACAACGTTCCTATTTTGGAATAAGTAGTTTGTAGAGTTCATTATATTCAGAAATTTCAAAAGGTGGAATTATGGTTTTATATGCTGTTAAAGCAGTTTGATTAGAAGTGTAAGTCTGCTTGAATTTGGAACAAAATATCAAACAATGGGGCAATTTATGATTGCCTTTTGTTACGCCTTTGTCTGAAGATTGTACTATTGACTAAGACGATATGCTCGTTTAGATGGCCTCTGGCTTTCTGATTTCTCTTGGTTTTCTATAGATCAGTGAAAATACACAACATTTCTTAAACAAGTATATGCCTAGATTTCAGAAAAAAGGAAGGTACTGAATTTGGTGTCTATGTAAATTGTCACCTGTTATAGGTAGAGGTGAAGAAACTGGCGGGTAAAATTCCAGAGCCTCAATTCAACACAGCTTTGTTTAAATTCTTTGATATTAGTGACTTAAGCATGCTGAATTTTCCATTGGTTTGTGGCCCTGGTGTCTGAAAACTGGATGCGGTTAACTACTCTCCCCTCCCCACACGTGTACTGGCTGCACTGCTCAGAGGAAAGGCATTCTTGTGCCTTTTTCTAGTGGCTTTTTACAGCCACATTTTTCTTTATTATGGCGCCCATAAATTGTCCTTATGTGAAGTGTAGTTTTCTTTCTCTGTCTACTGTAGCCAATTTTTGATGTATTTAGATGCAGCTAAATTGTTTATCATTCATACAGGGTTCCTCAAAATTTCTCACTAGGTTGCCAGTGGACCAGTTGTTCATACCCAGCACAAAAATCCCACCCCCACATTCTATTTTAATTACAGGGGACCTGAGAGTGATATTTGCTCTGCCTTGGAAGGGTGAGGGAAGAGGCAGTATCTCTCTGTTCATTTTGAGCTTGTGTTTGATTACATTTTTACCCCGCCCTCCTAGCCAAGGCCGGCTCACAGCAGCTTACACAAAACGGAATAAAATTCCATCAGTACAGCATAAAATCACCAACATCACTTAATATAAATAATGTTAAAACCCAAAAATGTAATAAAGTGCTAGCAACATAATTTCCTCATTTTACAGTCAACTCTTTGGTCTTCTTCAGTTGTCTTGGGTAGTTGGCTCAGGCAGTAGTTGAAGGGTCCAGCGGATCAGGGCTCTCCCACCATAGGATGTCAGTTGTTGTTGTTGTTGGTGGTGGTAGTGGTGGCGGCTCCAAAGGCCTGGTGGAAGAGCTCTGTTTTACAGGCCCTGCGGAACTGTAAAAGGTCCTGCAGGGCCCTGATCTCTTCTGGGAGCTCATTCCACCAAAGTGGAGCCGCCGCCAAAAAAGCCCTGGCCCTGATTGTCACTAGTAGAACTTACCCATGCAAAAGCCAGACTTGAAGACAAGTTGAAAAGTGCCTTATGTTATCTGAAATGGCTGGATATAAAACTTTTAAATAAGGAAAACATCACTCCCTTTTCCTTAAAGTGCAGGTAACCGGGGAGGGGGGAAGGCTTAGTAGTACAAATAATTGCAGGTTGTTAATGCAAGTTCGTATTTGTGGATCCTTGGCGATACAGCAGTTAAGGTTGTGCACACAACCCATTTGTTTTTGCGTCAATAATAGTCATTGTTTGCGTCTTGTCCCACAGTTGGCTGTAATTTATTGTGTCTACCATCTTTGCTCAGTAGAACAGTGACGAATGCAGGAATGGTTAGTTCGAAACATGAATATTATACATTAAGTGGAGTTACTGCAGCAAATCAGTAGCAGGCATGGCTGATCGGATACCTGGTAACGAGTCTACGCCTCAATTTTTAAAATACTTTTCAACTGAGTGCATTGCTGATGTCTAACAATTTAAGATTTTCAGCCTTGTGTATCACAGAGAGCTAATTTTAGGATGTCAGAATGATGCCAAGTGGCATTAGGCACGTATTCAGTCTCACATACTTTTCTTGCTGCTTTTAATTCTGTCAGGTATAATTCTAGTTTTGTATAGTAAGCAAGAAACAAATGATCATAAACCAATACACATTTCCCACTTTCCTTTCTCAAAATATTTTCATCTTATCTTCTGGTCAGGTCAGTTTGCGGCACAAACTTTCAGCAGGTTTGTGGAAGTTAGCTGAGTTAATAGGGTGAATAGTAATTTACTGAAATGTACTGTTACATATTAATGAAACATTGTCCCTGACTACTTCTGACACAAGGCCAGATATATTTGTGGCCCCAAATAGAAACTTTTTGGTGTGTCATTCAATTCCATATTGGAACATTCCAATTTTGGTCCTATTTTATTTATTGTTAATTGCCTTACATGTGTTACAGGGACTCTGTTGTTTGTTGTATTTTGCATCATTAGACCTCTGAAGAAGGCTCCTGTGAGCCGAAACATGTCAAGTCATACACTGTCCTTTTTTGTGTGTATTTGTAACTTTGAACATTTTGTAAAAATTATTATAACATATAAAGCACTTTGAACACTCAAAGTGCTACACAACCACTGGGCATTATTAATATTTTGCTAGTGAAATAGTTACTGCAGTTCTTTGTTCAGCTGCAAGGACTTAGTGAGAAATGCATTGGCTTTGCCAACCTCAGATGTAGATGGCTTAGATCTACTAGGGCCCCGGTCACACGGGCCGGATATCGTGGGGGGGAGGCATGGCTAATTGCCCCGGCACAGTTTGATCTGCGATTACGTGATCAGACGCGCCGGCGGCACACCATGGGACCTTCCCTCGGCACCGGTGGGTAAATGAGGGACCGGAGGGGAATGCCGTGTGCCGGCGCGATCACACCATGGGAGTCTGGAGGCAGCCCGTGGCAAACGTTTACTAGTACTTTGGAGGTAGTAGTTCTTTTAATGTGCATGTTCAGCAGTAAACCACGGGTGCACTCCACTTCCCAGATGTTGGGGTGTGATTGCGCCATCCGTGCCTCTTCCGCAGCAACTTTGTTGTGTGACCGGGGCCTAGAATCAACTTTTGACCAAAGCAGAGAAGAATGTGCTATAAATACTAGATTGCAAATATCCTTTTAATAGGTTGTACACTTATTATCTGCCATGAAATTATTATAGTTCATAAAAAGTAGTGATTATTGCCTTGCATTGTGTGAAAATTTTTACTAATGGAAGGGGATAGTTAATCCACCTTCCATTGCAGACCTCTGACTCATGCTGTTCCTAGGAGTCCCCTGTCCCACAGGAACAGCCTGGAGGGGGGCATTTTGGACTGCAGTGGGAAGGGAGTGAGGGAGTCCTGTTCCGCTGACGGAATCCCCTCTGTCAGCAGAGATCTATTGTAGAATCCTGTCATTGTCTTTAACTAAACTAAATAGGGAGCAGCTATGTGTGATTATCTACAAACAACTTCTGATATTATAAGAATGCTGGTTTAAGTTAGAAATGTGTGGTTTACCCCTTGCTTCATTCACCCCCCCAGCTCCAAGTATTCTTTCTCAATATCTATCTAGAGAGACAGAGAGAGAAAGAGACAGAGATAGAATAAATCATTGGGGTTCTGCTATATATGACGAATCACATGTGCAAGTCAAAGCTTGTGTCCTTAATTAGGAAAGTCTAAGTTTGCAATTCTGTGTGCAATAGGATTTACTACTGAAAAAAAAATGCAGATTGTTCGGGTGCCCATTTAGTGCATTGTATAGTATAATGGTTTTGAGAGCAGTGAACTTAGGTTTGCTGCAGTGTAGTAATTTGCTTTTGTCATACTTAGGGCTGTTTATTTTAACATTTTGCAGTTTCCAGTCTTATCATCGTGACTGTGGTGCAGAACTTTCAACATGCCAGCAGCACTTGCAGAAAACAGTCAGGTGATCTGTGAAGTGTGGGCAAACAATCTAGAAGAAGAGATGAGGAAAATTCGAGAAATTGTTCTCAGCTACAGCTATATTGCAATGGTAAGCATGCTTCAATGTTCAATCTTTTTTTCTGTATCTAGGACATAATTGTATAGGTGGGTATAAATCTATATATCTAATAGCGAAGGGGCCCCCTGTGTGTGGATATCTAAATCTTCGCACGTGGGCCAATGCTCAGGTGTGCAGAAAAAACTGAAAACTGTAAAAAAAAATAGGGGGGATAATTAAATCCCCCAAAAAGTAACAGAGCGCCCCCTGCGCATGCGCAGAGAACACTTTTAGAATGGCTTCGCTGCTGCCGCCACCAGAAAAGGGGAGGGGGTGGTGGGGAAGAGGGAGGGAGAAAGTTCGGCGGGCTGGTGAGGCCTAGCTGTTGCTGCTTGGGAGGGGAAGGTCGAAGGCTTGGTGGGCTGGCGGCTGTGAGCCACTCAGCCGCTGCTGCCGTGCAGGAAGGGAAAGCTTGGCGGGCTGGCCAGGCATTGCTCCCGCTGGGGGAGGGGGGGAGGCTTGGTGGGCCGAGCTGAGGCCTAACCGCCATTGCCGTGGGGGAGATGGGGGAGGTTTTGTGGGCCCGGCAGCTCGCCGTCGGGGCCAGGCCGGGGCGGGCGAGAGCTTACTTGTGGTGGCTTCCTCCTTCTTGACAAGTTAGGGGAGGGAGGGGGAAAGAAGAAAGGTTGGCGGGCTGGCCTCACCGCCGTCACTGGGGGTTGAGGGAGGAAGGGGGGAGGGAGAAGGATGGGCTCACCTGTTGCTGCTTCTGCAGGCCAGGAGCTGTGGGGAATACTCCCCCCCGAGTATCGCGGGTCCCGCCTCTTGTTCTGTTATAATGTGTGCTCAGCTGGTCAGTAGATATGACCCAGGAAACTAGGTATCTTTCAGTTTTTCTCATGACTTTAATACAAATACTTAAAATATTTTCTTTGATGGCTTATGAGCCTCAGATCTGCAGATTTAACTTAATTTGTATGCTGCCTCAATTGATCTAAAAACAGGCTGTTGTCGAAATCTTGATGATTTAACACTTTTGCATAATACTTTGCAGACAGTCATCCCTTTGGTCTTTCACATCCCATTAGTGTTTGCTGATAAGCTCCTAAAGGCAGCTGGCTGTTGGAAAGAGAATACTGGAGTAGATATAATTTGGTATAAGGGAATTCTTGCATCCACAAGTAAAGCAGCCTAGTCCATATCAGAACATTCCATACATTTAAATATGACTTCTAGAACTTCACATAGCTTAACTTTCTTGCATGCTTATTACATTTATATCCCACTTACTAGCTATTAACGCTTTTGTAGGGATTCGCAAATAATCAGTGAAAACATTCCTTTATATTAGGAGTGTGTGAGTGAACAGATACTGGATACAGTAAACTACTGTATATTAAGAGGTCTGAGAAAGCTGATTTTTTTTTTTAGGCAGTTGTGTCACACTTCCATTTAATCAGTCTTTCAGATTATTGATTTATTTTGACTGAAAGTAAATCTAACATGACCTTTTGAACTCACTGACTACAGGAATCCCAACTTGTGCAACTTGTTATCTAATAGGAGCACTAACTAACAGGGCATTAATACCCCATATAAAGTTACAGTAGCTATGTCTTACTGACTCATTCAGGTGAGTTTGTTTAAAAACTCAGGTGTCTTGTTAAGTCACATGTACCTTCGAGAGAGAAGGGTTACCCAAGGTAGGATTTTTCAAGCCTATCCATAAATACTTTTTGGTGAGTGGTTTGCTGTGTGCTTTTTAAATGATAGTTATATAAAAGAAGGTTTCCTTTTTTCATGGCAAGCCATGTTTCACTGTAATTGAGTGGCATGCATTACAGTGGGTGGCACCAGCCACAGCAGTCAGGGGCACACTTTGTTGTAAATGATTGTTTTAGGTTGAGAGCAGTTTTAAAATCATGATAGAAAATGTTAACGTGTGTGTTTGCTTATCTTTGTGTATCTAAAAGAGACTATGCAGTTGCAGTACATATTGAAATTACAGATGCTTCCGACTGACATTGATCCCATTGGTAGGTCTGGCCCAGTACAATTATAACCTTGTTATCCACTATAGTGCAGTAAACGTCCCAAATTAACTGGGGCAGCATCATTATTGGAAATGGAGTAAAGCAATTAGGGAGTCATATATTAACGACTCCTCACTTTGACGTCAGGAAGTTGTGCTTGAATTGTTCTGCTATGTATGACTGATGACAAATTAGTCCATACTCAATAAGCATGAGAGACTGACCATGTGACAAAGCAATATTACCTGTTCTCCAGAACAACAATTAGCTCCTTGGGCTTGGATTTAAACTGATAATGAGTTTATGACCAAATGCATTTCTGAGGATCGCAGACAGGAGATTGTTGTAACTCAGCTAAGGACTAGATATCAGTCCATACTTATCAGTACCTGTTTGAAAGAGTGGTCCTGCCTGCCAGCATGTTTACTTTGCTGTATTATCCTTATTGTCAAGAAATAAACCATGTGATTCACACCATACAGACCTGTCTCTTTCTGGAAGAGATATGTTAGTATGCTTTATTACTTTTTTCGATGAACTATTTATAAAACTTGAAAGTAGTTAAGAAAGAACAGTGGGTGTATGGTAACACTTCTACATAGTGAGGGGCTGTTAACTTTTAATCCACTACTGCCCTCCAGTATACAGCATTATCACAGTAGGGTTGCCAGACCCCCCGGATTGGCAGGGTCTGGCAACGGAGATTGGGCGGGTGGGGACCTCCGGCTGCCTGCACTTAAAGCAAACCCTTTAAGTGCAGGCAGCCAGGGCAAAAGCGCCCTATACGCCGGATCTCTGCTCGGAGATTGGGTGTGCAGGGCCCTCTGGCTGCCTGCACTTTAAGGGAACCCTTTAATTGCAGGCAGCTGGGGTGAAAGGGCCTCGCGAGGGCGGGGCTTGGAGTCAGTATGTCTAACATGATGTCATCACGTTAGGGATGCCCCGTTCCCTCCTGGAACGCCCCCCAAATTCCCTCGCTGGGTACAAAGATGGACCTGGCAACCCTATCACTGAATGTTTATTTTTTTATTAAAATATTTATTGAAAACATATACTATGGAGACTACTCAACATAGACCTATTAAGACCTATAACAACCCCCCTACAGGTAACAAATTAAAATTAAATTAAAATATTTTTAAAAATCAACTACAAAATGCCTACCTAAAATGAGTGGCCTGACATTCCTTATGGAAGGCAGACGGTACAGGGTTTCTGGGAACTTCTGTGGGGAGGATGTGCCACAACACTGAAGCTGCCACCAAAAAAAGTGGGCCTGTGCATTGGCTGGACAGCCTTGCAGGCAGAGCCTAGCCAGATCGAATTCCTGGAAAAATCTAATATGGTGAACATCCTCAGGGTGTGATGAACAGTATAGAACAACTCTTTCACTTGTGTCAGAAGTCATTGCAAGTGAGGAGAAGGGGCAGCCTCAAATCACGTATTTTCCCATTTGCACTGTTATTTTTTTCCCCAGTTTATTTTTGTTTTATAGTTTACAGTATTCAACATTCATCGGTTTACAGTTTACTCTTGCGAGTCTTATGTTTTTACATTTTCCAGCCAGATATAAAACATTTTCCATCTTTTTTCAAATGTCTCTCTGCTTTTACTTTTTAGTCTTACACTTAGCCTATCTATTTAAACTACAGATAACATTTTATCTATTATCTCTTTAGTTGAAGGTACATTCTCCTCCTTCCACATTTTTGCTAGTAAAATTCTCGCAGCTGTAAAGCAGTATAACATAACATATTTGTCAGCCTTACTTACTCCATCTGGAAACATATTCAATAATGCTATCTCTGGTTTGAATAGGATCTGCGTGCCAGTAATTTCGTTAATCATCTTATATACTCTCTTCCAATACCGTTGAACTTTATCGCACCTCCACCACATATACATATAAGTGACCACATTATTTTTACATTTCCAGCAGTTTCTATTTGCATTGGCATAACATTTCGCTATTTTCTCCGGCGTCCAGTGCCATCTATAGAACATTTTATAAATGTTCTCTTTAAATGGTGTGGCCCGCGTTAACTTTATTGACTGCCAGACTTTTACCCATTGCTCTGCTTCTGTTATGTTCCCTAGATCTCTAGACCATGTCAACATTGTATTTTTTATCATTTCTCCCACTAGGTATTCCTCTAATAGCACTTTATATAATTTTTGCATCATTTTGCCATTTGCACTGTTATGAATGCCCTCCAAGATTTATAGTGGTAGATGGAGAGGCATACAGCCCCTATTAAGGACCACTGAACTTGTAATGTGTTAGTGATATTACATAGTACTTAATTAAAAGAAACAAAACAAAAACACCTGCTTCCTTTGTATAGAGATAAAATTTTGGGAAATTTTGAAGCCACTGGGGGAAAAATGGGTTTTGGGAAAAATTGAAATATGTTCAATACTTTACTGTCAAACCTAAACTTTGTTTGCTGATTTAACAACATAAATGTGTCACTTGTAACTTACAAAACTGTACTGTTGGGCCCATTCATGGAATTTAAATGAATTAATGTCTTCATTTCCTATAAGAAAAACTGCCAGTATATGCAGTACCTAAGAAAAGAGTTGCAAATGCTGCACCCTTTGTTACTACCATAGCACATGTTTCTTTAATTTTTTGCTACCTAAGAGGTAGGAAAAATAAAAGTTGAAGGCAGAAAACAAATTCTGTAGTAAACAAGAAAAGTGTATTCTGACAGATGCTATCAGCTTATTTGGTTATTAAACTAAATTTTATAACATTGAAAACACACTCTTTAAGAATGAATTATTGTTGAATACATTCTACCATATTTATAGTTACCAAAATTATTCACAAATAAGTTCTTAATCATATGCTCCTAAAATTAATGTAGGACTAACTGTTCTCTAATGCTGTATACTTTTTAAACTTTTTTTCAGTCTATTCATTATGAGTAAAACTTTGTCTTTCATTTCATTCAGTTCAAAAGGTTAAAAATGAATCATAGGAGCTTTTTTAGCACTCCCTCAAATATTTCAGGTTTTCCATAAGAAAATTTGACAATAATCCTCAGACTTTTTCATGCTATGCATTTGGAATGAGTGAACTGCTTTACAAGAAAAAGTTCTCCCCAAATTTCCCAATTTTTCTATTGGAAAAATTCAAAATGTCCTCAGACTTGTTCATGTTACATGTTTTGAATATGGTATACCCAGGGGTCGTTTCGTAGAAAAAGAGCTAGGGGAACTCATTAGCATAACTCATTAGCATATGCCACACCCCCTGACATCACCGGAAGTATGTCATGAGGCCACACCCCCTGAATGCGCTCGCCTGCTTCGGGAGAGGGGATCAAAGTGTAATATAAGCCTCCTCCGAGACTCGATCACACCAATCTCAACTCTCTCTTGGGTCTTGATGCCTGCCAGTCATTCCCCCTGCCTGGGGGAAGCCACGTTGGACCAAAATACAGGCCAAACTGCTGGACTTACAGGGTGCATCAAATCGCCATTTTACCCCGACCGGAAGCAGGGGGCGGGGCTTTGTCGTGTGCCCCGCCCCCCGCACCTCACCCCGGGGAACTGCGTTCCCCCGCGTTCCCCCCCGAAATGACCCCTGGGTATACCGTGCTTTCAGAAGCATTTAACTTATTCTGAAAGAGAAAATATTTTGTTGTTGATCGTGGCTTTTTAATTTTAGTGCTCTCTGAATTTTCCAGTTTTCCTTTTGGGAAAAACTGGAAAAGCATCTGTGGGGTCCCCCCCCCCCCAAATTTTCCCCTCCCCATCCAGAATGGGCATTCACGCCTCTACCTTTGTACTTTCTTCACATTTCAGGTATTTTTGCTTGGTTACAGATAACCAAGCTTAACGGAATTAAGATAGCAGTTTTTGATTCCTCTATTGATTATGCAGAAATGTGTAACAGTGAATGTATCAGTTAGCATGGTTATAGAATCTAGCATAAGATCCTCAGAATAGCAAGGGACCCATAGAAAATGTCTGGTTTTTCAGGTCAAACCTTTTTCCTCATCAGTACCCAATGTGATAAACTTACTTATTGTAGGATGTTCAATTATATACATGGGTACTCTGCTCTTTAAAAGTATAATTCTGGACTCGGATAGCATGGATCTCTGCCCCCAGAAGATGAAATGCTGTCCTACCTAACATGGGATCATGCAGAGGAAGTGTGTTCTCTTTAATATTCCTGTATTTTGTATTGCAGGCTGCTTCACATGCCCATTGGGGAGAAAAGCAATCTATAAATGTAAAAAATCTACAAATACTTCTATATGAACGTTTAGTTAGAGTATAATCTTCCACATTCAAACCATTCTTGAATGTAACTTTGAGCCAGAGAGCAAAACTTTATCATTCTGAGGGCCATGTTTACATTTTGATAAACTCTGGCGAGATCTTTTGATACGTGAATCTGTGGGAATACGTTTTGTAGTATTTTAATGCTGTATGTATTCTCTTTAACCTGTTCTGTGGTCTGTTAACTCCTTTTTCTCTCTCTGTGCTCCATAATGCATGCTCTCTGCACCATCACACGTATGTATAAATGCCTTCCTCTGTTAATCCTTTTTCTCTACCACCGCCCTTCAAAGTGCGTATGTACACTCCATCTTTACCCTACAGGCCTGCACCCTCATCTCTTAGCTAGGTTCTGTTTCCCCAATTCATAGGTTTCTCTGCATCACCTTCTTCACTTTTGATGCTTCTGCTTTTCTGCATTGCTGTTATCTTATTCCTCTTTGCTGAGTTTAAAGCATCCAAGGTTTTACCCTCTCAGCAGTTCACCTACATAGGCAGTCACTGATGCAGATGGGCATTGTTGCTTGGTATTTGTAACAGGCTGGTAAAACTGGCACCAATTTTGCCATGTGCCTTTGAATCAAGGCAGATGAAGAACAATACAGCTGTAGAGATGCAGCCATTCCCCAGTCCCTACTTTTCGTTGTTTTGGTAGGGTGAAGTGTTCCTACAAAGAAGTTGGAAAAAGGTGCAGTTAGGGTGTGGACTATTGTTAGGCTGTAGACCTTGTATTATGAAGCCCTGGCTAGTGCATCATTATTACTAGTTAGTGTCAGGAAGCATACCAATGCAGAATTGAGAAATGTAAGTGTCCTAACCCTAACAGTATTTCTATTTGGGATATATTTTGTGATGGTGAAGTATACATCTTTCTGTACCCATGAGTAGGAATTGGTCTCATGCCTGCTTCCCTGAAAGATCAGAAAAGAATGATATACTGTTGTAGACACACCCAAACCTTTGTTTTTTTTAAAAAACAATGTAATACCTTTAAAAAAAAAAAAGACCAACCAAAATAACAGAACACATTGGACAAGATTTCGAGTTTCCTAGAATGCTGTATCGGGCTTAAAACGGGAGGAGGGTGTGTGTATTCTGTGGAGGATGCTGTCCCAGCTTTTATAGGCACGTGGTGTGGTTAGCTAGTTCCCAGTTGCACCCTTGGAATGTTGGGAAGACAGAGCAAATAATCAAAGCCATCTAACTGAAAATGTAACAACAAATAGTTGGGAAAATGTCTTTCTGATGCCAGATGGAACAAACAGGTCCCTTAAAAGGCTGAGAGCGTAGGAAAACAAGTCCTCATTGTAGAAATAATACTGGAGATTTAATTTTAGTTGGTCCACTAAATAGTTGAATTTTGGTATTATTATCTAGTTAAATTTCCCAGGTTATTATTACTGTAGTAAAACCCCTCCCTTCTCCTTGTGTAGGACACAGAGTTTCCTGGAGTTGTTGTTCGACCCATCGGTGAATTTCGTAGCTCTATTGACTATCAGTATCAACTGCTCCGGTGTAATGTCGATCTTCTGAAAATCATCCAATTGGGCCTGACTTTCACAAATGAGAAAGGAGAATATCCTGCTGGAATCAACACCTGGCAGTTTAACTTCAAATTCAACCTTACGTAAGTTGCGGGATCAATCTCTCTGTTCTGTTCCCAAAAGTACTCGTCAAGGAAAAACATAGCAAGAAAATTTCCCTTGTTAGCATGAAGGCATGAATGATACTTCCAAGCTAAATTTTTGAACCCAGAAGCTGTTAATATTTGGTCTTTTCTCAAGACCTAATTAAAGCATTGCTCTTAATCCAAGGATGATTGCAAAATTATTTGGACTGCAAGTCTGGAGAAAAATCTTATTCACCTTTTACCAGTTTTTCTTTTAAATTAGGAAGTTTATTGCCTTGGAGCTGGTGTTTTCTGTGGCAGCAGATGAGTAGGCTTTTTCCAAAGCTGTGATTAACTGCCATTTATGTAGCACATATGGAGTAAAGATCCATGAAAATGAATTACTGTAATACATAGATTCTAGTCATGTCAGTTGGAATGGAACTCAGTTTTCACTGTGAGGAAGTGTATGAGAGAAACTTTGCTCTCTCATTTAGCCATGTCTTCTATAATGAAGGTTTGGGAAATCACAAATGCATTAAATTAAAAGAAAATCTTAATATCCTTGATTCCAGAAGGGTAGTTGTGTTAACCTTTTCACCAAAACACAGTCTGTTACACTTGAGCACAGATACATTTATTTGGTGTGCATTTATTTTGTCAAGAACAGCAGATTTGGGCAAATTTGAATATAATGAATATAAACTTTCAATATAAATTAGATCCCACATCCACAGCTGGGAAATTGAAATTCTGCAATTGGAGAGCTGAAACATTTTAATTAAGTTGTCCATATTGTAGATCTGCGATTCTGGCAGCTTGATGACTTCCTACATAATTTGTACAGGATCCGGAGAACTGCAAGCAGAATTCTGTTCATGGCTGCGTTTCTTCTGCCTCCCCCAAAAAACTGCTCTTAAGGGTTGGGAAACCCTTGAGATATGGGGAACTGCAACCGGGTTGGGATCTGTCAGTCACCAAACCTCCCCCTTTCAGGAAGTGCACGTGTCTTCCCAGCATGCAAATGTGATTTTGAATTAAATTCCTTTTATTTAATTACCAGTTCAAGTCAATTTGCATTTCCTTACATGCAAAAAAGGTATTCATATCCAGGGTTATTATATTTTAATTTTTTTAAGGATTACATCTGCATTAATTTCCTAGCAAGGCTGGTGACAGGAGTGTTAGGCCTGGGAGTGAATGGAGGGTGCATCAGTAGTGGTGAGATGTATATCTGGATGTGGATGTATGTGATAGGGCATGCAGTAAATGATGCAGCCTGCTAGTATTGTTGGAAATAGCCCAGAAGCCTGCCTTATGCGTTTTCCATACTTGCCAGTGCACCACATGAATTGCAACATGCCTGAGACTTCTGCTGCTATGTAGGAAACTCTGGTGGTGTGCTCTCAATCTGTACTGGGTATGAAGTTCTCTCATGAGGCCAAAGGCAAAGTTTGAGACTTCTGTACAAAGTTGGGGTGAGTTTGGGGACTTTTATATTGCTTCCAGCGCAAATGAACCTTGAATCATGGCATCTTAGAGGATTGTCTCGTCATCATTTATGTTGCATGAGTCTTTAGAGGAGTACCAGACTTGTACCCCATTTTCAGCTTGGAATGTGATTGTCTCCCTATACAAGTGAGCAGTATGGTCCACAGTCCATTGGCACTATCCAGCTCAAAGCCTCAGATGGGTGTTTCAGCTGACCTCTCTGTCGCTCAGCAGCCTTGCTTCCCCATCATCCTGAGAGTGCTTTGTGGTCCTTGTAATTCCAGAACAAATTATCTCATAGCAGAGGGCCAAAATTGTAATCTTATTTTTTTTCATGGGATGTGTTTTACCCTTAAGAAAGAGGTCAGGTGGCATCAGCGTCAGTGGAGCTGGACGCATAGAGACCTTGCTCTGACCCCTCACCTTACCAAACCGTGAAAATCAAAGATCTAGAGCTTCTCTTTTACTCCTATAATATGGGTAAACAGGATTATGCCAAAGCTGCAACCAATAATACCTCTCTCAAAGGGATCTCAGAAATCTTTCAAAAATCCCAAGGAAAGCCTAAAAGATGCTGACAAAATGGCAATGGAAGATGTGGCTGCCTTCCCACCAGAAGCTACGATGGAAAATTCTTGTCTGACAACGCAACTTGCAAAATGGAAAGAAAAATACTAGAGAGCATGTTGGCCCTCATATGCCCATTGGTGAAACAATTTGCAGACTTTAAAAACTCGTTAGATAAGGTTAGTCAAACTGCTAATCAGACGCTTGATTAAATGATACACTGAAAGAAGAGGTATACTCTTTACAAACAGAGATGGAGACCTGCATGAATGGGTTCTCAGCTTAGAAACCTCCACACGTAGATCCAACCTAAAATTTCAAGGCTTCTCTGAGCAACTCAGTATTAACACTGACATCGATTTTCCTGTCACAGTTAATTTTCGTGTCATCCTTGACTTCTGGTGGATGGTGACGCGCTTGCAGACGCATCTCCCGGACCTCCCGGGGATGAGGTCTGCCTCCGGCTGAAGGAGGGGGCACGCAGGCTCGTAACCCCCCCCAGGGACCCGGTGGAGGGGCCCTGGCCAGGGAGCTTTGAAGGGGTAGCCTCTTTGATGGCGGAATGCCAGAGAATTGAGGCGCCCCTTCGCTCCGGTGGTCCTTTGAGCCGAGAGACCGAATGGTACTAGCAACGCTTACCGGAATCAAGCGCAGGAGATCGAGCGAAAAAAAATGCTGCAGAAAAAGGGGTCACATGACCAACTATGAACGTGAGTCAACTTAAAGACGATTTTTAAAAAGAAAAGACACTCCCTACCATATCTCACTGAGCAGAGAAAACGAGCAGGGAGGAAATTCCTCGTGCACATAAATAATTGAGCGGAGGGGGGGAGCGGACGAAAACGCGTAGAAAAGTGCCTGGAAACACTCACCAGAGTGATTGTAAATTATTAAGCGCAAATTCAGAGACTCTTGAACTTTCTTGTGCGTGTAAACAATTATAAAAGATGGCGGGGACTTCAAAACATGGTCCCCAAACCATTGGGGAAGCTTGGAAACTATTTAAAACTACGATCCTAGAAGCTCAAAAAAATATATATTCCGCAGGTTAGGAAAGGCACAAACAGGTATAGGAAAAAGCCTGCATGGTTAACAAACAGAGTAATGGAAGCTGTAAAAAGTAAACAGAATTCCTTTAAGCAGTGGAAAGCTAGTCACAGTGAGGCTGATAAAACGGAACACAGGCTATGGCAAATAAAATGCAAGTCTGAGGTCAGGCAGGCAAAAAGGGAATATGAGGAGCATATAGCAAAAAACGTAAAAACCAACAATAAAACTTTCTTCAAATACATTAGAAACAGGAAACCAGCCAGGGAGGCAGTGGGGCCCTTGGACGACCAAGGGGTAAAAGGAGTATTGAAGGATGATAGGGAAATGGCTGAGAAGCTAAACGCATTTTTTGCCTCCGTCTTCACTGTGGAAGATGAGAAGTGCTTGCCCACTCCAGAACCACTGATTTCAGGAGGGGTGTTGAAAGACCTGAGTCAGATTGAGGTGACGAGAGAGGAGGTCCTAAAACTGATAGACAACTTAAAAACTGAAAAATCACCAGGCCCAGATGGCATACATCCGAGAGTTCTGAAAGAACTCAAATGTGAACTTGTAGATCTCCTGACAAAGATATGTAATCTTTCCTTAAAATCTGCCTCCATTCCTGAGGATTGGAAGGTAGCAAATGTCACTCCCATCTTTAAAAAGGGTTCCAGAGGAGATCCGGGAAATTACAGGCCAGTCAGTCTGACGTCGATACCGGGTAAATTGGTGGAAACCATTATTAAGGAAAGAATTAGTAGGCACATAGATGAACAAAACCTATTGAGGCAGACTCAGCACGGTTTCTGTAAGGGAAGATCTTGTCTCACTAACCTGTTAGTGTTCTTTGAGGGGGTGAACAAACATGTGGACAAGGGGGATCCAATAGATATTATTTACCTTGACTTCCAGAAAGCTTTTGATAAAGTTCCTCATCAAAGGCTCCTAAGTAAGCTCAAAAATCATGGGATAGAAGGACAAGTCCTTTTATGGATCAAAAACTGGCTAGTTCATAGAAAACAGAGAGTGAGTGTAGGTGGGCAATTTTCTCAGTGGAGGGTGGTAAGCAGTGGGGTACCGCAGGGATCAGTACTTGGTCCACTGCTTTTTAACTTGTTCATTAATGATTTGGAGATGGGAGTAAGCAGTGAAGTGGCTAAATTTGCGGATGATACAAAGTTGTTCAGGGTGGTGAAAACCAGTGAGGATTGTGAGGCACTCCAAGGGGATCTGTCAAGGATGGGCGAGTGGGCGTCAACATGGCAAATGGGGTTCAATGTGGCCAAGTGCAAGGTGATGCACATTGGAGCCAAAAATCCTAAATATAAATACACATTGATGGGGTCTGAACTGGCAGAGACTGAGCAAGAGAGAGATCTTGGAGTTGTAGTGGATAACTCACTGAAAATGTCGAGACAGTGTGTGACTGCAATAAAGAAGGCCAATGCTATGCTGGGGATTATTAGGAAGGGTATTGAAAACAGATCAGCCAATATAATAATGCCCCTATATAAATCAATGGTGAGACCTCATTTGGAATACTGTGTGCAGTTCTGGGCACCACACCTTAAAAAGGATATTATAGCTTTGGAAAAAGTGCAGAAAAGGGCAACTCGAATGATAAAAGGGTTGGAACACTTTCCCTAAACTGTTAAAGACACATTAACAAGTCATATAAATTTCTACTTGATTTTACTAGATTTGCTATCCGAATAAAATGCTGTAAAGATTTGGGAGCTGCTCTCAGCCAGTTTAGATAACTTGTACCTTTAATGGAAACATGAAGTAAAGAATAGTACTACAAACTGATGGTTGAAAAAGACGTTCAGTCGAAACGTTCCATCCTTAACATCCTCCATCCTTAACATCCTTGACACTGTGACTGGGCTTCTGTCTTCGGATGAAGTTCACCTAGTAAAATCAAGTAGAAATTTATATGACTTGTTAATGTGTCTTTAACAGTTTGAACTTGTACAGTAATTCTTTCCTGTGTCATTGACTTTACAAATTACTGGGTCCACTTGTGTTGTTCTCAACAAATCTTTACAGGGAAGATTGCAGCAAGTCCATAGAATTTCATATTCAGCAATATTTAAAAGATAACTGTAATGATGAGACATCTCCCTCCATGGTCTGGGATGCACTAAAAGTGGTACTCCGAAGTCACCTAATCTCCATAACGTCATCTCTGAAAAAAGAAAGAAGAAGCTTTAAGAAATGAATTGATTACCAAGATAGAGCTTCTGGAGAAAAAACATAAAGCCACGGGAAGCAAAAGGATCTACAGTAAACTCCTCACAGAATGTAAACTTTTGGAAACATTAGATAGCTCCCAAATTCAAAAAAGTCTCTTATATGTTAAACAGAAGTATTGGATCAACTCACCCAAATCCCCGAGACTCATATCTTGGCGTGTCAAAGACAAGATCTTCCAGGCTTGTGATTGCAATTAAGGACCCAAAAGGGAAACTGCATTCTGATTCTTCGAAGATAAACAAGCTATTCACTGATTTCTATGAATCCCTTTACTTGATCAGTGGTCTCTAAGCCTTTCATTTAATCATTCCACGCCATGCCCTCCAAGTCTTTTTCTTCCCCCACCAAATTCTCAGCTTGTAATTTAGTCCCATAGAAATTCCGGCCGTTTTACTTAACCTGTTTGGGTGCCTATTTTTCTGGGGGGCTATTTCTTTGTGTTGAACTCTCTCCTCCTCCTCGTTTCAATGTTTTCTTCCCTCCGTGTTGCTACTAGTTATCTTCAGTTTTTCGCAAAGTTAAAAATCCGGGTGGGCGCAACTGTGCAGACCATGTTCTGTTCCGACGAACGCTCCTGCGTCGGGGCAGTTCCTGGACCCCCCCCCCCCGCTTTGCCGATTACGGGGGGCCCAGAAAAGAAGCCCCCTGCTCCAGCCTGCCCTCCAGGCGGGCTGGTCGGGTGCTCCCGGCAACCGGGAACCCCAAAAACAGAGTGAAAGTGGACAGGCGGCTCAGCACAAGCCGAGACCCGCCCGTCGTCGCGCCGTACCGGAAGCGGCCATCTACCTATCTATCTACAACCCACCCACCCTACTTTTCTAGGGCCCATTGTCTTCATCCACAATGGGCTTTGCTCCCTAGTTGTATATATGAGTTTTAACTGGTTTTAAAATGTATAAATGTATAAATGGTACTGATAATTTATGCCAATAAAGGCTGACTTGACTTGACTTGAATCCCTTTACTCTTCAACAAACCCGACCTCTGAACTTATCCAAGCTTAACTAGCATAAAATCTAAATATTAATTTATTTTATTTTTTATTTTTCACATTTATATCCCGCCCTCCCCAGTGGGCTCAGGGCGGCTAACAGAGACAAGGTCGTTAGTCTTGCCATAGGTAAAAACATATAAAAACATCGTAAAAACATCCAACACTAAAACCACAGTACTCAATCCAATTACTAGTATCCTGATTCCAAGATGGTATCACCACAGTTCCAGTGTACGTGCCCAATGGCGACGGCTTATCAGATCTTCTACAGTTTCCAAGTTCTTCCTCGGGCCTCGTTGATGCATCCTTTAAGATACCCTGACGGTGGTGGTATAATGGGGCGGCGGCAAACTTAAACTGGAAAACTGGTGTGTGTGTGTTAATTACCATCTTCTGACTTACGGCAACCCTATGAATTAAGGACCACCAAAACGTCTTATCATTAACAGTCTTGCTCAGGTGACCCTTGTTCTCTCATAATGTGACCAAAGTACGATAACCTCAGGCTTGTCAACACAAATATTTATTTATTCCTTTTTATTCCTCTAATTTGTGCCCCACCCTCCCCACCAAGGCAGTCTCAGGGCGGCTTACAGACAATATGTTAAAACAGTTAAAACACCATATTTAAATAAAATCACAAACAATACAGAATAAAAAATATCATAAAGTGCTAGTATAATTCATAGCCGATGGCGGTGTTCACAGCCTCCATGTGATGTCTCTGTTTAATCCTTTCCATGCAGTTAACGATACGGTGAAAATTCAGGACATGTTGCATATTGTGTAATTTTGCGTATTCCATCATGAAATGAAAGTAGGAGTTAAATTGCTTAGCAGGGGCAAAAGGGGAAGGTTTAGGTGCAACAAGGACTGATTCATGCTTTCCCTCCTAGGGAAGATATGTATTCTCAAGATTCTATAGACCTTCTTGCAAGCTCCGGGCTGCAGTTCCAGAAGCACGAGGAGGAAGGGATTGATACCTTGCATTTTGCAGAGCTGCTTATGACCTCGGGTGTAGTGCTTTGTGACAATGTCAAATGGCTTTCATTTCACAGGTTGGTCATATATTCTCTTGCCTTTAACTGTTACTCTGTGTTTGTAACATGTAGTGAATATGCTTCCTTCATCTTCTTGGTTTGTAGGGCAGAAAGAATTGTAATAGTATTTTCATCTTCTGTCTTCAGTGGAGCCCCACACTAGGACTGTTTATTATTAGTTTATTATTGTGGTCTTGAGACCAATGTACAGAGTAAGCATAAAACAGTCATAATATACAAAATACAAAAAAATAGAAATCTGAATTTAAGAACTTTTAAAATGCGATTCCCACAATCTAAGAATTAATGCACAGAACTCACTGAATGTGTAATTTCTGTATTCTTATCTGATAGGAGCCAGTGAAGCCTTGCTTTGTTTGTATTAATGTGACCAGGTGTCCTATCAACTAATGGGGTAATAATGTTAAAACGAGCCTCCATGTAAAGTGGGCAACTGAAGAACATATGCTCTACTGATTCGACCTCGCTTAAGGGGCATAGGCATAGCCTTTCAGAGTAGGGGTTTTTATTGTACCTGCCTTGAATAACCGCATATGGAAGGGCAGAACATCTAGCTACGGCAAATGCTCTTCTATGGAGAGCCAGTTTGGTGTAGTGATTAAGTGCGTGGACTCTAATCTGGGAGAACCGGGTTTGATTCCCCACTCCTCCACTTGCACCTGCTGATGTGACCTTGCGTCAGTCACAAGCTCTGGCACAGCTGTTCTTGAAAAAGAGCAGTTGCTGTCAGAGCTCTTTCAGCCTCACGTACTTCACAGGGTGTCTGTTGTGGGGAGGGGAAGGGAAAGGAGTTTGTAAGCCACTCTGAGTCTCCCTTGGGTAGTGAAGGGCAGGGTATAAATCCAATCTCTTCTTCTTCTTCTAGAATTTTTTTCCTCCACTGAAGTCAAGTATGTTGCTGGCTCAATGGTGCTTTTAATATTTAACAACACCCCAAGTTTGGAAGCCTTAGAGATGTCAGATTGTCGCTCAATATCTTCAACGTTTTGTTTAATTAGCCCTTTGGCTTGTTCAAATCCATAGGGTAAAAGTAGCTGAGGTGAGAAGCCAATTCTATGAATCTGATAGTGAACTGCCTTGATCCAACTGGATTGGAAATCATCCTGGAATATCAGGGGAAGCAGGCCTTGTTGGTTGAAATGACCTTTCAACCACACATAGATAGATGGATAGAATGCATACCCTAGCTTCAATCCTAAGATTACCGGACTCCAGTCGTATCCAAGCATTGGATACACAGTTTGGAACTTGCAGAACAGTTCTTAAAAATTTGGACTAAACTCTTTCTTGTGGCATAAAGCATGAGGAAGGTGGCCCTAAGAATGTTCCATAGAGGAGTTGTGCCAATGATTTGGCCTTATGTAACTTCAGGGCTGCAGGAACAAAGTGTCCACCATGTGTTTAAAAAAATTTCAGTATGGCTTTTGTGGATCTCTCTCCTAGATCGGCAACATGTTTGCTGTGCTTAACCCTAGAACTGAAGGCCTGTATAACTACGGCCAGGTATTAAAAACTATCAACTTGTTCTATCTGATGACCATTCATTGCCCAATTCCTGGGTTTGGGTCTACTTCCAAAAGCTACAATTTTGGTTTTCTGATAATTAATTGTGAGAAGCTCATCTTCACAAAACATGTTGAGCTTCCTTCGGGCTCACCTAAGACCAACTGGGGTTCGAGATAATACCACAGCACCATCGGCATACACTAAAACAGATATATGCCGGTTAGCAAGTTTAGGGGGATGAAGATCAAAGGTGTTAAGCCAACTTACTATATTGTTAATATAAAAAATAAACAGAGCTGGGACTAATAGACATCCCTGCCTGACACCTCTGAAGGTTTTAATAGGATGGCCAAATCTACTGCATCTGACTCTTTAAAAAGTATGATCGTGCAGGGCCTGTAGTAGAAACAAAAGTCTTTTATCTATATTTGAATTTAAAAGCTTATTCCAGAGCTGAGGTCCTGAAACAGAATCGAAGGAAGATTTGAGATCGAAAAATGCAGCATATAGCGATGTTGCTCCCCTGGCAGAGTATTTCTCAATAAGGTGATGTAATGTCAGGCAGTGATCAAGTGTAGACCTACCTGGTCTGAAGCCTGCCTGTTCAATAGCCAAAATATTTTCTTGTTCTAGCCAGTCTGAAAATTTATTTAATAGATGTCCTGCATAAAGTTTACTTACGTTTAGCAAATTAATTGGTCTATAGTTGGATGGGTCCTCCTTCTTACCCTTTTTATAAAAGGGGACAACTATAGCTAAACCCCAAGACTTGGGGACATGGCCCATATTATTGATGTGTGTAAAGAGGGGAGCTAGGAAAGCGGCCCACCAATCCTTATTCTCTTTTAAAAGTTCTGGTGGAATGCCATCTGAGCCTGGGGCTTTAGCATTTTTCAGCTGCCCAATAAGGGATTCAATCTCACCAACTGTTACGGGGGACCATTTCATGGTATTTTCTAAAGTTACCACCGATGGAGAATGAACAGCATCGTTGTACATTTCGCTAAAAAAGGAGACCCATCTGTCTGCAGGAATACAGGGAGTTATTGGTGACTTAGCACCTGCCGCTCTACAAGTGTCTAACTTCAGGAAAAGGGATGTATTTGAAAAGCTATTCCCCCCCCCCCCCGTGATCGAAAACAGAGATTGCAAAGAGGGACGCCTCTTTTGCGAATGAGCGGTTAAAGGACACGAAGGGGAAGAGGGGAGGAAGTAAACCAAAAGTGTTTTGAGAGACTTATCTGAATAACGAAGTTACTTGGCGAATTTTCCAAGTTTTGTGGGAGCGGTAGAAACTGTAAACAAAACGGGAAAGATGGCGGCTCAGCAGAGAAACTTTAAAACGAAACCGGGCAGTCAGAGTCCGAGGCCGGAAGAGGGAGCAGATGTCCTCAAACTTCTGGCGGATATGCTTAAGCCGGTGATGGAACAACTCGATGGTATTAACCACGAATTGACTGTGATGAATAAAAATTTTGCTGCACAACAGCTCCAGCTGAACGAAACAAAGAAAAAAGTGGAGCAGGCAAACGAGAAAATTAAAGAGATAGACACCACAAGCAAGAAGATGAAGAAAAGGATGGGAGAGGTGGAAATGAAGCAGAATTGCCAAGAGAACCGAGTTTTACAGCTACAGATGGGAAAAGCTAACATGGTTCTCAAGTTTCAGGGGGTTCCTGAAGCAGATCGAGAAGACTTGAAGAAGGTGCTTAGTGAAATTATCGCTCCAGCAGTAGGCTTAACAGCGGATGAACTTGTAAACGAAATGGAGATAGCCTATAGGGCATACTCCAATTACATTAAAAAAATAGCCTACCTGGAGAAATAGTAGTCAAGTTTGTAAGAAGACAAACACAGGCCCCGGTCACACGAGCTGGAAAATGCGGGGAGGGGGGAGCGTGGCTGTTTGCCCCGGGGCAAACTAATGCGCAACTGCGAGATCAGACGTCTGGTTGAGGTCCCGTCGAGGTGCCGATCACACCACAGGCAAAGAAGCGGGGGGGCGTGGCAAACGGGGTTGGGGTTTTTTTTTTACTTTTTAAAACTGAAGTTTGCGCAAGCTCCGTTGGGTGCTTGTGCGCATCCGTGGAGCCTTGGGGGAAAAAGGATCTGTTTGCGAGGGGACGTGGGCAGGCGCTGGATGCCACCGGAAACGCGATCAGACGCCCGCCCTTGCCCTGCGGTTTCGGGAAACTAGTACCTCCGAGGTATTAGTTTTTTGCCGCGCATCTTCGGAGGGAAGCCTCGGTTGAGCCACGGGAGCTCTATGCTTCCCAGATGTGGCGGTAAGATCACGCCCGGAAAATCCGCCTATCTTCCATCTCTCTAGCGAGGCTACTGTTCGATGTGACTGCAGCCACAGGACACCATTATAAAAGCAACTTCAGCAACTCCACTGAAAATGGGAAATGTAATCATCAAAACTTTAAAGGACATTCCAGTTGAAATTAGAAAAAAGAGGAAAAAATTACAAGGACCTAATTTCTTTTCTTCAAACAAATGGGATATCATTTCTGGAAGGTGTCATCTTTAAAATCAACGTTAGAAGAGAGAAGAGACTCCACTTTTAAAGCTAAAGAATTTTTGAGACGCCAGCTGGGGACAGAGGAAGAGTCCAAAGTCGAGTGACTCCGCTACCTCGGGAATGGAAGAGGACTCTGCGGCAGAAAAGGGTGCAGGACCTGCCAGAGTGCTATACGATTTCAGAGACAGAAAGCCGAAGTAAAGGCAGAAGGACTTGGAAAATGGCCTTTTAAAGCGAAGTATAGAAGATGATCAGAGATTTCTCTCATAATAAATAACAAAATAACATATGAACAGCAAACTGTGATAAGCAAGAACTCTACAAGTATATTGTGATAATAAAACTAATTGTACTAACATATTTACTAACAGTAAAAAGATCTTCTCCTCTTGGGGTTTTAGTCTAGTGTGATTTGCTTTTCTTTATCCCTAGTTGTAGTCCCTTCCCTATATTTCTTTGTAGTTTGTAGTATATGCAAAATAAAAAAAATATTCCTACGGGGATTAAAAAAAAAAAGGGGGTTATAGGGAAGCTGAGAGCAGAGGGTTTGGACTATATTTTGATTGCCCCTTTTTAGCCACACCAGATTTGGTTGTCCGAACTCCTCCACCTTGAGGGGTCTGAGTATATCACCTTTCCACCAGTTCTGGATTTGTTAGCAAGGGTCCTGTTCTTCACCACAATATGGCCTGTTTACATCTTATAGTGTGGAGGATATGCTGGTAGGGCTACAGTTCTAACCTGAAGTGTGCGATGTCTTAGTCCAGGCTAGAAAATCCTCTGCCTGGTATTCCTACTCTAGAAAGTGGAATCGGTTTGAGTTCTTACCCTTTACCTGCCCCCTGTCCCTGGTTTTGGAATACCTATTTTCTCTTTTATCTGGAAGGCTAGCTGTGTCCTCGGTGAAGGTGCACTTAGCAGCCATCTCTGCATATCATGAGGGAGTAAGGGCTCTTCCCCTTTTGCCTATAAGCTGTCACAATGTTTCCTTAAGGGCTTACACAACGTTTCTCCCCTCCCCCCACAATGGTCCCTTTCCCTGGTCTTGGCTCAGTTGATGAACCAGTGGCCCTGTGTCCCCTAGCCTTACTCTCCAAGAAATTTGCTTTCCTCATAGCAGTTACTTTGGCCAGGAGGGTGAGCGAGTTGGCAGCCCTGAGGGTAGACACCCACATTTTTAAAGGTTTTCAAATGAGAAAGTGTTACTCCACCCCAGTCGAGTTTCTACACAAGGTAGTCTCTATAGCACTACTAGTTTTCTTCCCATCCCTGGTGTCTGGTGTTGAGAAGGCTCTCTATATCCTGGATGTTTGGAGGGCTTTATTATACTATGTGGAAAGGGTGAGGCCTTTCCGGATAGATAAGGCCATATTCATTTGTTATTGGGGCCCAAGAAAGGGGAAGGCTGGTTCTTCTCAGTCCCTTTCTAGATGGGTCATGGCTGCCATCCATCCCTGTTATGAGGCAACTGGTCAACGGTGCCCCTTGCAAATTACGCTGCATTCCACAGAAGAGTCCCACTAGTGGACATCTGCAGAGCTGCAACATGGTCAGTGGAGGATACGTTTGTCAAACACTTTGTGTTGGACCTGCAAGCAAGGAAGGACGCAGATGTGGGCAAAGCTGTTTTTCAGTTGCTTTTTCAGGGAGACTTTCACCCTGCCCCCTTTGGTGAGTAGCTTGCTAATGTCCCAATGTGGCACTGCACTGAAGACGGAAGATGAAAACAGGATTGCCATTACCTGTAAAAGTTACCTGTTCTGTGCAGACACACATTTCCTCAGCCCTGCCCCACTGTGAGCTCTCACATGCTAGGCTTCCAGTATGATTGTTGGTGGCGACCTGACAGGAACTGTGGGAGAAGGGGGCATCCTGCCTCTGGAGCACCTGACAGTTTAGGCGGGAAAAACCGTTGGCTCCGTAAGGGAGGGGCGTCCCTTATGGGCTTTTTAGCTGGAAAAAAGTCTGTCCATGGCTGGCCTGTGCAAGTGCAGTCCCAGTACGTCTCTGCACAGAAGATATCAATGAACAACAGTTACAGGTATGTGTAACCCTGTTTTTTTTTTTCTCTTCCTGGCAGAGGACCTTTGTGCTTTCTCTAGCAATGTGACAAGTAGAAATTCAGCAAATAAAGCTTTTCACATAATTTTTGAATCCTAGCAAGATGTTTAGTTACTAAATGTTTAGCTGTCATGTAAGACAAAAAAATGATTGGGCTACTCAAATAATTAATCAAAGTAAAGTTAAAGGAGCCGTAGAGTTAAGTGGTACTTTAGTTATATATAGGGCAGCAAAGCATAAGTGGATTGAAATACTTTTAAATGCTGGGCTTTAAAACCTCATCCTCCCAGAAACTTGTAGCTATACTTCAGCAGCTGTCTTCTGGCTTTGAAAAGTATGTGCTGAAATAGGGGAAATGTGGTACGATACCCTACTCTTACTAGACATAAGCTTTTGACTGTTGCTCGGTGACATCTCTTTTCAACATTTCTCCAACAGTGGCTATGACTTCGGTTATATGGTAAAACTGCTGACAGATTCAAGGCTTCCAGAAGAAGAGCATGAATTCTTTCATATCCTGAACCTTTTCTTCCCATCCATATATGATGTTAAGTATTTAATGAAGAGCTGCAAAAATCTGAAGGTACTTTCAGTACTGTGCTTGCCAAGCTTGCAGTAAGTTGGGGTTGGCTTGTAAACCTACAAGCAAAAATTGAAGTAAACTAACATGTATCACACTTTGTTTTCTTAATCATTAGGCCTATATAATTTTAAGTACTATTGCTTTATATATGCATATTAGGGTTGAAATGCTGATCAGTTGGGTACCTATCATTTTAGCATAACCAAATCCAGAAAATGTCAAGAAAGTGCTGTCTTTTTTTGATGGGGTTTGGGGAAGGTTGTTGACAGTTCAAATGCTAATCCTAAAGCTTGCATTTATAAGATGTACATACAAGTCTTTTTAAAAATTCATGTAATTTATATTTGGACCAAAGTTTTGATTCAAATTATAAGGTTTGTAAGGCTTGCTGATATGAGAACATGTTATGGGGGCAGGTACATCTACATTTGTCTACTGTCTGTCCACATAATCCTGTTCAGACATCTTATTTCAGTTTTATAGACTGAAATTGATTATATATGCTGCAGTATATTCTTGGAAATTGACATATAAACTGTTTTGTATCAGCTGCAACACTAAAAGTGTGTAGTAGTCCATAATATATATAAGTGAGGTCATGTATGTTTCCTAGAAGTCATGAGGCTGGATTAATGGTTGGGAATTGTTTTTTTTCAGGTGGGTTTCATTTCAGGGAGTGGGGAGGAACCCAGGCTCAATCCCTGCTTTGAAGCTCACTGGATGATCTTGATAAAAGTCGCATTCTCATTCTTATCTCATTGTTGGGTTGCGGCTAAAATTGCTCACAACCTTGTAAAAAAGGAATAGTGTAAATAAATCCAATCTCACTTATGCCCCAGTGATGACTCCAAATGGCCTACATTATTTTTCCTTCGTTTTATCCTCATAACAATCCTGTGAGGTAGGTTAGTGTGTATGGCTGGCCAAAGTCACCCACCGAGGTTCCAAGTTAGAATGGGGATTTGAACCTGGCTCTGCTAGATCATATAGGGCTACGGTGGCTCAAGTGGTTCAGATGCTGAACTGCAGACCGGAAGGTCGGTAGTTCAGCAGTTCGAGACCAGAGTGCCGCATGACGGAGTGAGCTCCCGTCTCTGGCCCCAGCTCCTGCCAACCTAGCAGTTGAAAAGCAAGAAATTGCAAGTAGATAAATAGGTACCACTTTGGTGGGAAGGTAACAGCGTTCTGTGCACCTTGGCGTTTAGTCATGCCGGCCACATGACCACGGAAATGTCTTTGGACAGCACTGGCTCTTCGGCTTGGAAATGGAGATGAACACCACATCCCTAGAGTCAGATTCAACTGGCTTTCGAGCAAGGGAAGCCTTTATCTTTTTACTGCTAGGTCATGGTATGACACTCTAACCACTATCACCAACTACTACTATCATGTTGTCCACTGCTGTCAAATTGGGTTTTGTCTTCTGAATCCCTTAGTGGTATCATCACTCATTTGTTACTGAATTCTTATTCAAGGTTAACTTCATTCATAAAAGTAAACATGAATCTTTGTTTATTGCAATCACCATCTATAGGGATGCCTTTGAAGACATTCTAGAAATTTCAGGTGGTACAAAATGTGGTGGTCCACCTTTTAATCCATTGTCATGCCAAAAGTGCATTATGCCTGTATGAAGGCCACTTCATGATCCGTCTTTTTCCAGACTCAGCTCCAGCTGCTGCATCAGACTTGTTCAGTTCTCAGATTTGTTCTCTGTATTGCAGGGAGGTCTTCAAGAAGTTGCTGACCAGCTAGATTTGCAGCGGATTGGACGGCAGCACCAAGCTGGATCAGACTCTCTACTCACAGGGATGGCATTCTTCAGAATGAAAGAGGTACATGCAACTTGCCTATTCTGAAACATCAGGAAGGGGAATACATAGGGACCTGTGCAGCTGAACTCTGTCCTTGCAATTTCTCATACTATTCAAGAGTCCCTTTCGAAGAGCACTGCAGGAATGTCTTGATATAATTGTATGGCAAAAGTTACAAGGAATGAATGGCACAACTAGAAATGTAATGTTTGCTTTCTCTCTCTCCAGTTGTTCTTTGAGGATACAATTGATGATGCAAAGTACTGTGGGAGACTATATGGCCTTGGTACCGGAGTGGCTCAGAAACAGAGTGAAGATGTAGAAACAGCCCAAGAAAAAATGAGTATTTTGGCTATCATCAACAATATGCAGCAGTGACAAGTAGGTCTCATTTTACTCATGGGACCATGGGGGTAAACTGCCTCCTTAAAACTGTCTCACATCTCTTAAACAAATGGCAAAACTGCTAGAGTTTTTGTAGAGGGCAAAAGCATCTTTATGTCAAACCCCAGAAGATGCTGATCAGGTGATTTCATAATTGTTGAAATAGTATTTTGCCTCTATGTAAAAACCAGAGGGACAAGTTACAATGTATATACCTCTTTTCTTTTAAACCAGATTGAATTTGCAAGGCGTAAATTCATTTCAGAACTTTCAGCAGAGCTGCAGTTCTCTCATGCACTTGCAGATTCAGCTTTTGAAAGCTTATTTTAAAACTTCTTTTGCTCTCTGTGAGGGTGATGTGTTTTTCAGCCCTCTGCTAGTTTTTACCTTTTGTGTAAGTCAGTTTGTGACCATTCAACCCTGGTGGTGGAGATAATGCATGAAGATCAGTCTTAGTAGCAGTAATGGTTGTATTGGCTAGCACCTCCTTCCTTTAGATTGCTGCACCGTGGAGTATTATATTACGTTTAATCTTTACTGTAGATTGGAACAAAGTTGTCTGCATGCTTGAGACTGCAATTAACAGTCTGGACCAAAACTATTTCAGTTGCTTGGTTTCACTTCAAGTGAAATACTTTCCCCTTCTAATAACTGGAGGTTCTTAAGTGAATAAAATTAATGTTGTATTTAAAATTTTACAACCAGTGAAAGTTAAAGCTTCTAGGTTTCCCTTTTATACTACATTACAGCCCCAGGTTGTTGAAAATGGCTATAGAGTAAGAAGCAAGTCTGATACAGTCCTGAAAGCCAAAGGAAGGTGACAAGTCTGGTATTTTAACAAGCTTAAACTCTCCACTGTGCACATATTTTGCGAGCTGGTGTTGAAAATGCTTGTGTGTATATATTATTGGTTCTTAATTTTGTAAAATAAAGACTTTTTTCTTAAGGCATGAGACTGTTTTTGACTGCCATCCTTATTCTGAGAAGATGTTCATCAAATTCTGTGGCACATTTAATACAAATCCTGAATTTAGTAAGTAGTGAATATCAACCATCACTTCACCTACATTAATACATAGCATAATCCAGTGATGCTCTGGACTCTTGTGAGTGCTGTTCCCCAGGGATGGGATGGTGGGTGAGCTGCAAGCCCTATGCTTGTGGTGGAAGGGCCTATCCTGTACTCAAGTTCAATACCTTTATTGGCATAGTAAATTTAACATTAATTTGCCTAAGGAATGATGCTTGAATTGCCTCAACTTTCTGATTAAAGGCATTAATCTATATGGGGATACCACCAAAAATTTGTGATAACGTTTTAGCTTTATAAATATTATAATTGCAGCAGAAGCACATTAGTTACCCCTCATAAAATAAAATTGTTTAATTTGAGATGTAGTTTTTGATGCTTCTTCCGTTTCTCTGTTAACATAGAAAATGCTGTTTCACCAGAATTCCTGTCTGGCCTCCAGTAAGTCCCAATGAAATAATTGATCTAACAGACGATCTAAAAATGGGTAAAGCACCAGGACCTGATGGACTCCCTGCTGAATTTTTTTAAAAAAATTGCTGACTGGTGGTCTTTGCCATTGGCCAAATGGTTTACACTGATTGATTTACATGGAGTAGTTCCAAATTCCTGGTTAAAATTAGTACCAATTTATAAAAAAGGAGGTTTAGATCTACCTGAGAACTTCTGTCCTATTAGTTTGTTACCAATTATTGGTAAATTATATGCCAGACTTTTTGGAATGCTGACTAACAGACTGGATGCAACTAAGTAGCATTATTAAGGTTTCCCTTGCTCGAAAGCCAGTCGAATCCAACTCTAGGGTTGCAGTGCTCATCTCCTTTTCCAAGCCGAAGAGCCAGCGCTGTCCGAAGACGTCCCCGTGGTCATGTGGCCGGCATGGCTAGGTGCCGAGGCGCACGGAACGCTGTTATCTTCCCACCAAAGCGGTACCTATTTATCTACTTGCAATTCCTTACTTTCGAACTGCTATGTT